TGTTCTTCTAGTGGAAGACTCGTGTGGCAGTCTTCAATTCGTTGTACGAATAGATCGTGGGCTTAACCTCAAACTCTTCAAATTCTGTAGCACACAATATGGAGTGATTTTTGAAAAAGGACTTCCCGACTTGGTACTGTAATTAGCATCCTGTAAAGTACTAGATACGCACTATATAGAGTGCTTCATAGACAAAGCTCTGAAGCACTCTTGTGAAAATTTTGTGGTTGAGAGAAAGCAATACGGCCAGTAATTGTACTGCTCTAGAACAATCTGCAAGTGCAACACCATTCCTAGATTTCGTGAAGTAGGTTATACTAGTATGAAGGAATTATACTACTATGTGTAGAGAAAGAAGTGCTTACTTTGTTGGAAGTGAAGGTACAGGCACTTTCTGTATCGTCTGGTTTTGAGGATAACACCTCCCACTGCCACCAGCACTATCAGTGCCACCACCACTGCACTGGTAGTCGCTGCAATGGTGATGATCTTGCGTCGCTCGGTTTTAATGATCACTGCTTGACAACAAAAGCAAAACGTCAGTTCTTTTCCAATTCCATATGTGAGCTTCCAGCAAAATTCATTTCAGGAATCCTTGACATTTCCACCTTATTGGTCCGGGTTCCAAGAACCATGAGCCACCTATTCATGTAGTACTCCAATTTTCAAAATTTGACTTTACCTTTTGGCATAATCGGCGGCGTAATATAGCAGAGTTGTGTACAGAACCATCTCTTGGTAACATCAATGTTCATATCCGCGCCAAAACAATATGGAGTGCCTTGAAACCTGCAATTATGTTTCACATATGCATAGTTATGTAAATTGGTGACCACTTATGTTGTTATTCACTAATGCATGTCATGTCTCCACTCTCCTACTTTCTTCCCAATTGAGATGGTCTAATTTACTGGCTGTGTCTGTTTTACTTGATAATCGGTTTCTGATTTTTGATGTTCTCAGAGGTATACTTGACATCCACGATACTACTGTTGGTCAAACTCAGAACTTTTAAATTCGCTGCTGAAATGTTGTGAACATCCTGTTCACTAAAAAAGCTGGTAATGTCAAGGATTCATGAAATATCATTGCCGTCCAAGTACCTGGCATTGAGTCGTCCAAGTCTGTTAGATATGAATGCTGACTTAGTGTTCTATGATTGATCTTCGTTCAAGGCTGTATGCACATTAACATTATGTCCTGTTATTTGCAACCAGCCCCTAATTATGGAAGTAGCCTTGTTTTGCGACAGTTCATATTGTTTTACAAGGTTGTTTCTCGTAACCAAGGGAACTGAGGGTGGGCTACATATAGTTCCTGAATAGAGCCCAGGCCCGAAGTTTTCATATTGGGTACAAATCAGCCAATTAGAAAATTCTTGGAGAAATCCACCACAGCGGCTGCGGAAACATTGAAGAAGTCCGACAAATTTGTCAATGTCCCTGTAAAATGGTTACCGCTTAAATTCCTGCAAAAAATCATTATAAACGTGATTAGAAAAAATCAAGAGCAACATATCATGTCAAAACAACATTAAAAAAGGAAGCAAGCATAACCTACAAATTAGGTAAGGAACCGAATAATTGAGCACAACAAACATTATATACTTAGATACCAAAGAGTAGTATCACAAGCAAGGTAAGAGACCAATATTTACATCACACTCACATATGGCTTAAGTAACCTAAGATCGTTAGATTTGGTAGTGGCCCCTTAAATTGATTTCCAGAAACACCTCTGCATTTTACCAGGTCAATTCGTGAGTCCATGACATGTTGATATACTCTATTCTCTCATTCAACGAACTACGTAAGATTTGGCTACTGGAAGGCTGGATTCTTCTATTACATCTAAGGTGTCGAGAGCATACATAACCTTCATGAAGCCCATCTGCATTAGATGTAGTGCAGTGGACTTACTAAGCAGATTCTCCTGAGTTAAGATTTCAACACTCCTTTCACCAGGCCAATCAAAACATTATTGAAAATTGAACATCAATGCAGGTAGATTTACCACTAGGTTTTCGGCACAAAGTTAAGGAAAATGATAATAGTGAGACTCACGAGTATAGCAATTCGGTATTCTTAGAAAGATCCAGCAACTTCCCCGCGAAGTTATTTTGAGATATGTTACTACAAGGTACAAAGTTATGCCGTTAAATTCATATGAAAAATAAAAACAAAAAACAGAACACGTGCATCAGCAATAATTGCTACTATCTTACTGCAATGACCATATCATTGGCTTGGATTTGATTCATGCAACAGAAATCGAAATTACATTGAGTTTGTTACTTAGTTTACATTTTCTGCAGTTTTTTCTTGTTTCGAAAGGCGTCTCCCCTGATAATCCCAAAAAAAATTGTTTCTAGCAATACTAAATAATTGAAGAGCGTGTTTTGCATTGCTTAACTGTCGAAGTGGATATTTTCCGCTGAGTCGATTGTCACTCAGATCCCTATCTCATAAGCCCACGATGACCAATATAATTAGCTTAGTGCAAGAAGCATGCTAGTGATAAAATGAAAGATTTAGACCTTCATTGGCCTTCCGGACATTAACGAGAGGCTCATAGTTACTATAGAGTTTGAGGAAACATGAGACCTTTTGGAATAGCCCCATTGAAAGCATTGTCGGGAAGATCCCTGCAATAAAGCAAAACTTCGTTTTAGAAATAAATTATCAAAGAGTAGACTACTTGATAGAGTTACAATAAATGTATAACGGACCCTACAAAACTAGTTGAAGCAATAATACAACTATGATATTGAAATTGATTCACTGGAGTTGTAGTCAATGTTCTTAGTGGAAAATACTGATCTACATGTGTAGGTCCACAGTAGGTCATTTGTGAAACTTACAACACATATAGCGATCTGGTTGAAAGTGAGTTGAGAAGAGAACCAGTGAGTCCTCGATTTCCCATCAATTCCCTATACAAGAACATAGATGCAAATTGTTTGGTTAGCAAATTCATGTTTCAGTTCAAACAAATTTTTGATTACCAACATCCAGCTTCATACATCACTGACTCAAAATTTGTGAACTGCACCGAACTGACACATAATTACATCACATTAAACACTTGGCGGTAATGGTTTGTGCAATTGGTTGAAGGAATTACTTACAAGATGCTTAGACTAAACAAGAATTCAAATACATCATCCGGTAATGTGCCAATAATCGCCGCATTGGAAAGCAACTTGTCAACCGATTTGTTCCTTGAGTTAGAGCACAGCACCTCTAAATGCATGTCACTCCTCGCCAATACCCCAAATCACTCTAGCAAGGTTTAATCTGCAAAGAGCTCCAACCCGCCAAGTTGCTACTCAAATTCGGAGTACTTTTGTTCCAAGCATTCCACAGCGACTAAAGCACATAAACTGAAAGAAAAAAAAGGAAGTCAGTTAGTCTGTGAAACTTGTAGTTGGTGAATGTAGAAGTAGTACTGTAACACATAACTGTCAAGCTAAATCAAACAATTTCGAGAAACTCCGATGAAATCTTTCGTCAAGACCTGAAAAGATTCATTTATCTATATGTAGAGTTTCCAGCTGATATTGTTCAAACTGATACTTATCCTGGAAAGCTCTGGACATAACTTCTATCCATAACCATCAGAACCTGATATATATCCTTAGTAGACACGTACTTTCACCGTCGTTATATATACGCAGGTGTATGGCATGTTACAAAGAAAGAGGTGCAAGACTAGAATGACCAAGCTCAGCTGAGAATGTTGTGCCCTGAACTGCAACTCTGATCGCCTCACAACCCCCATTGCACAGATGTAGTCACTGTAGCGCCACAGTGGAACAACCTAAATCACAGATTCGGCAGAAGCAGTGCAATTCATGCCAGCTTTGGAAGAACAAACCACGTACAGAAGGAACTGCCCTCGCCATCACCACCCTCCAACTAGCAACCACCACAACACGAATGTTAGAAGTTGTTCCATGTAATTTGGTGCCGGAACATTGCTTTCAAACTCGAGAGAGATGGAGACTCTCTTGATACCTGGAAAACCCGGGTAAAAGGATCTCATGCTTGCAAGTTTGATCACGGATCAGCGCTGCGGCAGCAATTGGAGATTTTTCACCAAGTCCAGAGAATTGAGAACCATGTGCAACGTACGAAAAAACCTGTCTAATGACAAGTTCATGTGTGATAAACCTGTCCAGTGAGATCTAACATTCTAAACACATCAAACTAATAAGATCTAAGATTCTAAATAGGATTTCGCCCCATCCACACTTGGGTGACTTGAATCTCTTCATTTCACGTCATAATCTCATGTACAATGGCCAAGAACCTTCCTCTCCACACTCTTCTCCATCTCCCAATACTCCAAGAAAGCAACAAGAGAAGAGAAAGGAAAAGACAGAATGCAATGAGGGCCAAAAGCCCTCACATTATCCCCCTTCAAAGCCATAGCCGCCACCTTTACTAACATTCATTCACTATGCATCTGGGGAATTTAGCCGCGGTTGCTGTTGAAAAGCATAGTAAGAGCATTTTCACCCTGGTCCGGATCAAAACTATTGCTCTAGCTCCAATCAATCGCCCAGTAAATTATTCAGTTAATAGGAGCTCTGAAAGCTTCTTCCAAGCAGTGAAGCCTCCATCCTTACAATCCCACATTACAAAGCTAGTGAATATGCCAGTAGACAAAGTAAGAAAAGCAAAGAGGTTCTAGCAGGTTCTGCTCTACTATTTATGCAGTTAGGATGGAAATTGAGGAGATTAATGAAAATCAGGAAAAGGTTCTAGAAGGTAGTTTCACAAGGCCATCAAACTACATGTATAAACTCCAACGCTCTCTTGTAAATTTGGAGGAGCTTTCATTAGTGGTGATGGCCGTGGCGACAAGGTGGACTTTGTGGCAACAAATTTCTGTAAAGTTATGTGGACAACCATAAGGAAAGAATATTAAGATGATTGCAGATTCAATTCCCAGTCAACTCATTCAAGAAAGCCTTCTTGCACAGATCAGGACGGGAGTGTGTTGCAACAGCGTGCCAAGTGAATGTTCATCGTTTCAGAAACGCCCAGCTCTTCGTTCATGGGCAACGCATTACACACACACTGTAAAACATTTGAGCCTCAAGGTCCACCACAATCCACAACAACGCTCAAAGACAAACCCAGATGTATTCCTTGCGTGCTTATACATGCCTCAGGTGGCTTTTCACCTTGTCCCCCCCCCCCCCCCTCCTTTAGTATAACGACCCCCTCAAATTATGAAACCACCTGCTCTAACATGTCACCTGCTGCTGGTGCACCACCCAAATGGCTCGTGGTCACCATCAACTATCTGCACCATCCTCCAGTTTTGGAAAAGTCTTCATGAACCAGAGGTACTGTGCCTGAGATGCTTCACTCATGTTCTCAATCTGAGATGGATTAGGGGCATCGACGACGGGTGGGACGGCTGCGTGGGGTAAATCACCCGGCTGTGCAGCAGCACCTGGCTGCAAAAGGGCATGAGCTTCACCACCTCCTCCTGCAACCCCGTCGCCTCCAATCAACGGCTGTTCACTTTCGACCGACGAATTCTCCTCACCTTCGACGAACTGCTCCTCATATTCAGAGGCCTGCGCGATCCCCACATTCGTGCTTTCTTCCTCTACGTCAGAGTGCTTGTCAGTAACCCCACCGGCTTCGAGCTCGCTTCCGGTTTTTTTTAGTTTTGTTGCGGCTGTCGCAACCTCAGTGGAATGCAAAAGACTCTGCTTATCTAAGTCCGCGGCCTTGTCCAAGTCCTCGTCCGCGACCGTATCCGCGGATGGAGGCGAAGGAATTCCATTCAGACCGTCACCCGTGCTGAACATTCTCACAAAAAGTAATTATCCATTTGCAAACCAGAACCCTACCACAAGAAACCCTCACAGTAAACATATAGATTTAAACGTATAAAGATCCAAATTTCACGCTAGAATTCCAAAATTGCACAGGTGAAGATGCTAAGGCAAACGATTGCGCTAAATTTGCAAAACAACTCCATAGACAGGGCAATTACGTGATTACTGCCAGAGAGCTGCCCCATCGCACAATTCCTAACTAAAAAATAGCAACAAACAGAACGAGGCAATACAACACTCAACCCACCTGCGAACGGACGTGATCTGCTCTGGCTCGGCTGCCATTCCGCTCTCCAGGCTGGGTGGTGCTGGGGTGTGGTAAATCATGATCCGGCGTGGGCAGTGCGGGGGCAAAAGCGTGATAGAGAAAGGAGTGAATGACGAAAAACATAGGTCTGCTGTGCATTTATGGACGTATATCATGAAGCCCTAAAATCAGGTTGGGGGGCCAGGAAGTGGCCCCATTCCTTCTTCATCGCAAGCGTGGACTGGGTAAAATCCCCACCTGGTCCAGTCATTCATTTCGTCGAAGCTTGCACAACAGAAGGGAAGGAAGGGCAGGGAAGGGAAGGACCTGCCAAGGACCTGACAGAGTTGCAGTGCTACGCATATCCACCCTTCCCTCGGAAATACGCCTACCACTTGCATCTCTTCTGAATTAATATCAAATAATATTCCACTTTCCTTGCATATAAACAGATTCACGTGTCTGTACTTCTGTACTGACACACACAAACATAAAAGTAAAAGTTCAGAAAGTACATCTTCGAAAAAGCATCACAGTGATTATTGATTGCAGAACAAAAATTAAAATTGTAGAAACTTAATCATTTTTATATTTGAAAAATTTCAATATACACATTTGCATTACAATAATTTCATATAATTGAAAATTATGTGTGCATGTGTGTATATATATATATATATATATATATATATAAATGTATGTATGTATATAAACAGAAATATTCCTAATAACACTTTAGTTTTTTTTCACATGCCACCAATTTTTTTGTTATTGTCATCTTAACTTGTCATCCACATGTCATTTTATTTAATTATTTTTTATAATTCTATTATATATATATATATATATATATTTTAATTTATTTTATTTTCAAATAAATTTAGAAAGTAAAATTAATTTTATTAAAAAAAATTGTAAAATTAATAAGAATAAGTTACAATGGTGGTAATATTAAAAACATCTTATATATGTATGTTTGTATGTATGTATGTATGTATGTATGTTGTTATTATTATTATTATTATTATTATAGTGCTAAGTATATTTGTTAGTTTATCTAGTCTTATAATGTATATGATCAATTATTTTAGAATCAAAATATGTAGATGTTTTCATTCAATGGTTAGACTAAGAAGTTTTTGAAATGTTCACAACAAGCTTAGAGGATTATAAGGACATGAATATCAAACAATAAAATCCTCAATACACTCTTGCGACACTTAAGAAGAGTAAATATTCACTCAAAGATATTAATATTTAAGAATTAAAATGACTAGTGCCAAAGACAAGAAGACTAGAGATTCTTGAAACAAGACTAGGAATAAGAAAGGCATTGACAAGAGTCAAGAAAACTTCACTCTTGCCTCCATATATACTATATAACTAGGAGCTATGTGACAATGTTCTATAAGATCTCTAATATGTATTTAATTTGCAAGTCATGTGTCTTGACTTATAGGACAAGTTTTCTATGCGTGTGTTACATGGTTAGTTTATACTACAAGATACAAACACGTGTAATACATGGCTAACTTGTTGGCCAAGTATTCAACCTACCAATCATCTATAAACACATATATAGGTCAAATTGCATCTATAAATCTTCTAAAAAGCTTATTTATAAGATTAATTAATGATTGAAAATAATGTATATTAGGAAGTCAACTTAAATAGTATAGAATATATACCTTTTTATTTTGGCATATAATCGTGTATTTCTAAGTTTTTGTAGTATATGACAAACATGAAGTTCATATTTTTTTTGTGTTCTTAGAATAGATTAGATTATTGTTTAAATAGCATACAACAAAATCATGAAGAATTTTATAAAATAAAAGTCTTTTATAAGATATTGAAAAGTAATTGGTGTATTTGTGAGTCCAAAAGGCATGACATTATATTTGAAATGTCTATACCTAATTTTAAAAAGAGTCTTCTATTTATGTCTTTTAATGTGAACCAGCTTATAAGTTCCTCGTAGATCTATTTTTGTATAGATCTTTGCTTGATTGAATTGGTCAAGAAGTCTTGAAATTAGAGATAAAAGTTACCTATTCTTGATGGTGATATTATTAAGTCTTTGATACTCTATAAACATCCGTAGAGTTTCAATTGTTTTTTATGCAAACAAGATAGGAACTTCTATTGGAGATTTTGAATAGCATATGAAGTTTTTGGCCAAGTTCTTGTTAATGTATTCTTTTGGTGCAGCCAACTTCTTTTGTAATAAGTTGTAGATTGGTACAAATGGCAGTTGAGCTCCTTCTTAAAGATTAATTGAACAATCATATAGTCAATACTTTGAAAGAATATTTTTGTTTTTCTTTCCAAAAATATCTTGAAAATCTTGATATTTGCTAAAAATACTACTTAACATCTTTCTACCATTAGAAGTGGGCATGACATATATAGCAAAAGATGACCCTTTTTTTGCCACATGTATGTAAGTTCTTGCATATATTAATAAAGATTATGATATATTAGACTTATGAATTCATGCATGACTTAAGAAATCTTGGATTAAATTACAAGAAAAGAAAAATCATGGATGCTACACTTTATGGAAGTGAGAATAGATTTGTAACTATTGAAAATCTTCATAAATTGGTCAATATTCTTAGGGTAGAAATTTCATACATTATTAGTGTCAATAATGGAATTACTAATCTTATACCTATGGAAGAAGTTCAAAATCAATATTAAAAAGTTGTGTAGTTGAAAGAAACAAATAGATCGACCTCACAACCAAATCTAGAAAGTTTTGCTTCTACAAGTATGACAAGGATAAGGATTAGTATGCCCAAGAAGTATGATGGTAGAATATTAAAATTACAAGGATTTTTGCAACAAGTCAAGCTCTATCTAAAGTTGCATTCTTTCCAATATCCTAATGGATTTACTCAATTTGGCTTCATAGATCCATTTATATCTAGAAGTACTCTTTTTTATTTATACTTTGATAAAAAAAAGTATGAACTCTCAATTATGCTCCAAAATTTAAAACTTTATTATTTCTTTATTTTATAATAATTAAACATATTAGATTAGGATTTATATAAGTAGAATTTAGTTTTATAGAACTTTTGATATTTTAACATTTGATGGTATAAATCATCGCCTAATTCCTTGAATTAGATTAATTAGGACTAAAGTGATAAGAGTTAGAAAATTAAAATAGTAACTTAATTAGTTTTAATAATTTAGAAGTTGTTAGTTACTACTACGAGGGTTGACTCAAAGCCTATGAGTTCACCTACAATCATCTCATATGATTTAGAGTAAATTAGAATTATAATTTTTTAAAATATCTAGTGAAGTTTAGCAATGATAGTTATGAGATTTCTTCCAAATTCAACAAATTTAAGCAGTATATTGGTTTTCTTATTTAATTGAAGTCTTTCAAATGCAATGGTGGCACCAGATTCACCTTGTAGAGTGAAGAAAATAAGATCAGCACCCTCTCCTTCAAAATACAAGTGGAACAATGAAATTCTTATTTTGAAGAATTTTACAAGAATTACCAAGATCCTTGCGAGTAAAAACTTTCATAAAAATTACAAATGACTATGGATTGAGGCAAATGAGTAGTCAATCTTAGCATAAAAAGGTGTTGTGAATACAATGGTAAATTTAGATTTACCAAAAAGTGCTTTCTTGACCACTTACAAGAGCCACCAGCCATGGTATCGAAATTAGCTCTTGGATGAATGAAGGCTATAGATCTATATTAGGGATTTTAGAGATCAAAGGTAGAGATGTGGCCACCCTCCCATAAGCCACCACTCAATTGTATAAGAGTGGCTTGGTTTCCCAAGTCCTCTCTCTCTCCTCTTTCGATGAAGGGCAAAGCCATGCCAAATTTTGACCTTAAATCTTAATCTTGATTTTAAATCTCATTGAACTTTGTAGTTGTCTGTGCATAGATCTTGAGTAGTAAATGATGGTTATTGGGTTTTAAAACACACTTCATTGTGGTAGATAGCTCCCTCGGCCTTCCAAATATTTCAAGGGTTTCAAGAGCCTCGGATTTTCCTCAATCAATCATTTAATTTTTTGAATTTCAATGTGAATTTTTTTATGGTTATAGCTTTTGGTGTTAGCTTTTTTAAAAGATAAAATTCGCTCAATTTGAAATAAGGGCGAAATTTTGGTGAAATTTTGAGTGCACAAGGATTGATTGCCTTAACAGTTTAGATCACCCACCGTTGAAATGGCATTTATCAATGCTTCTAAATTAGATTATTGTAAAATTTTGGAAGTAAGTCCATCTTCAAGCTGAGCTTCTATTGGCATAAATTTCATTGAATTTTAAAAAAAAATTAATTTATGGTTAATTTCAAAGTAGATGGAGGTTTAAGATGAAGTGAATTTTTTGTTAATTTCTAAGTAGAAAGAGGTTGCCTGCCATAGTAGTCTTAGTCATTCAACTTTGAAGGAAGATTTTTTGTGGCTTAGATATTGGATTGAATTTAAATTTATTGGACCATGAGCATCTTCAACTTAAATTTTTAATAAATTAAAAATAATTCAATTTAAAGCTAATCATGATTTTTGGCAAATTTTGGAGTAGAAGAGATTTATTGTCCTCAATTCTTAAGCTTTATGAAGATATCTTTGCTTTTATCTCTCTTTAGTCCTACTTTTATTTCTATTTTTATAATAATTTGTAACTTTCATATTTTAACTTTTGGATTTTAGTTTTTAATTTTAACCTTTAATCTTCTCACTTTTGCTTTTAACTTAATCTTCAAGATTTTTTATTTTTATTATAGATTAATAGCAATAATTTGATCAATTGCTTTTACCATCAATTATTTAAAGAATAATGATTCATAAATTTTTAATAATTATTCATTTATTTACTCTTATTAATTATAATTTTGTAATCACATAAAATTTAATAATTAAATAAAGAAAATATAAAAAATCTTAAATAAACCATTAAGATTTAAATAGAGATCATGCAAATAGCCTTAAAAGACCATAGTAAATTTCATTAAATATTTTTATTAATATTGATAACCATTACTTAAAAGACTTAAAATTAATTAAACTACAGATATTAAGATTTAAATTAACTTAGCAATTACACAATTGGAAGTTCTTCCATTCCACCTCTTGAATTTGTTGTATGGCATCAATTTCATTAAGTGGTGAAATTTGGGCTCACAAAAAGGATTTATGACTCTTT